TTAACAAAGCAAAGTGAATACACAAAGAAGACAGAAAATTTTTTATAAGGTCTCTACCAATAACACTTGTTCAACTTAATTATTTGTACTGTTGACGATGAAGTTATACACGAATTATGGCTATGATTTATCAGTTTCTACGCACACAAATTTAAAATATAAAAAAATTAAAATACACATGCAAAAATTAGTTGATCTGTCTACAGAATGTCAATCTCATTAATAACATTTAATTTTATGTTTATATGATACAAGGAGGTGATGAGTTCTTTCCAAAATCGACTTTAAATAAATGAAATCGATCAATTTGTTGGGATTTGACTGTTTTAGGCTTGTTGTACGGTCAAGGTCCGCGATGCCGTCCCCAAGGATCCCCAGCAGCACCCTGTGGGCCGGGACCGTGCATAGATCCTAATAGGCCACTGGGGCCGGGGACAGCCCGGTNAAAAAAATATATAGGCCGCCCAGTGCAGGTGTTAAATACAAGAGATCTTAACCTAACTTACAACTATTTACAAGACATAATGGATTACACAAGACCAAATTTTTCCATGATTTACAATTGATTACTCTGGTAGACTTAGTTATTTATAATGTTTACAATGGACTTTATTACACAACATGATGGATAATACAAAAAAAAGGGACTTAACATGGTTGACAGTTAGTTACTCTGATTGACTTAGTTATTTATAGTGTTTACAATGAATTTACGCACTAAAAATGATTGTGATTAATCAATTACTGCACAATTAAAGTGGAGTATAAACAGAAATCGGTTAGCTTGTGTACAGAATGCCGATGTGTTAAAATTTGGATACAGTTAAGATTAATTAGAAAATTAGCAGTTAAATAATACAAGTGAGGTTAGTTATTACACATTGGAGAATGTGAAATCGATCAATTAATTGGAGTATAACTGTTTAAGATTTGCTTGCTGAGCGGTCGANAGCCCGGTGGAGGACTGATCCTTTTGAATTGCCGACCCCTTGAGCCCCTCGGATCGCCTGTCCCACCAGCGCCAGCGGTGGGCGGGCTTACCCTCAGGCCGGCTCGCGGACCATAGACAGTGCGACATATTATATGCAAAACTTGTTAACGGAGTATGTAAGCAGGTTATCGTAAATTAATCGATTTCAAGAAAGGGAAGATAGATTATAGTTAGAAGATTAAACGCTATATGTGTACAAGGGGTTATGGTTGTTAAGTAAGATACCGCAGTCAGCTCCGCTCCGCCAGGCCTAGACTCCCACACCGGTCAAGAAGCCGAAGGCCGGGCGCGGGGACAGCAAGCCAAGCCCAAAGGTTAGAGCCGACCGTCCCCGCGCCCAACCCACGGCCCCCAACCCAGCGCAGATCAGCCTGTCGGAGCGGAACCCATCACGGCACCCACAAGATACGAGTCATGAGCAATCTACGTTGACACAAAGAGAAAAATGCAACAGGACAAACTATATACAAATTAAAAGAGATGAAATGATTAAAGGATTGAAACTAAAAAAAAAGGCAGTCGCACGGCCGCCAAGGCGCAGCCCGCGGCCAGTCCACAGATGTTATGTGGCTGGAGGACTACAGAGAGTAGTCCACCTTGGCCATGATTCTGGCCTTCATGGCCTTTTGCCTAGGGCAGGCCTGGTCGAGGGCTGCGTGCTTGGCGCTCGTGCTGGACTTAAACCTTGCGTTGTGAGTTGTGCAATTGGCGCAGCTNACGGCCAGACCACTGATGTTGTGTGGCTGGAGGTCTACAAAGAGTAGTCCACCTTGGCCAAGACTCTGGCCTTCATGGCCTTTTGCCTAGGGCAGGCCTGGTCGAGCGCTGTGTGCTTGGCGCTCGTGCTGGACTTAAACCTGGCGTTGTGCGAGGTGCAGTTGGCGCAGCATGGAGCCAGCGCCTTGTTGGGACACTGCGCCGGCAGGTGACCGGCGGTCGCGCAGTGTGCGCAGACTGGAGTCTCGGCGGGGCATCGCGTCTGTGTGTGCCCGAACTGGAGGCAGCGGCGGCACTGCAGGAATGGAGAAAACTCCTCGGCGTGCACCCTCTGGTGGTCGAGGCGCACACGGCCGAGAGTGATGATGCTGTGGAACACCCTGGGCGGCACAGTGAGGACCGCGTTGTATAAATTAGGGTTCCGGTTCCTCCGCAGGAAGCGCAGTTTGATCCTCCCGTCATCCTCCAGCTCAGGGTTTTGTTCTCTCAAGGTGGCAATGAGGTGGTTGCTTGCCGTGTCTCTAGAGATGCCCTTAAGAGCGATCATTGGCATGAGTTTCCGCTCCGGTTCAGCACTGACGCCGGAGGTCTCCGTCTTGCTGTTAATTCGCCTCATAGCCTCCTTGAGGTGGTCTGTCGAGTCAAATTCGACCCTCGCTTTTCCTCGCGAGAGCATTTCAACCTTGGCCGCAGTGAATTTGACCTCGCGGAAAGGAATGGTTGATCGCAAGGTCTTGGTCACCGCCTGTCGGTCGGCCTTCTGGTCTTTAGAGGCCATGATGAGCGCCGGGCGTGTGCTTCTCTCTTCCCGTAGCCGGGGCTGAGTGTCCCCTGCCACAGGTTGAGCCGGCGTGGAGGCGAGTGACTGGGCGTAGGTCTTGGTAGTGGCGGGGAGGGGTTGAGCGGTCAGCGTGGGCTTCATGCGCCCAAACTCTGTCCTTACCGCCTGGGTGACCGCCTTAGTCACGGCGGCCGCGAGAGTCTCCTCGCAGCAGTGGTTGTTGGTGATGGCAGCGGTGGTGGTGGTGGTAGGTGCCGCCGGTGCTGGGCCCTTGTCCCGGCCAGATGTTGATGACACCTCCAGGTGTTTGAGGTGTACCTTCTGCAGCAGTCGAGCTGCATCCATGCTGCACTGGACCGCCCGCTCTCGGTTCTCCCTTCTCACACTCTTCTCCTCGTTGAGCAAGACTGGTATGGTGGCCATAAGGCCGTGGAGCTCCAATAGTAGCGAGGAGAGGGGAGTGTCTCCAAAGTCAGCACTGGGGAAGTAGTTCGCTGGTGTTCTACGTTTGCAGGCTGACTGCGAGGCGCCGGTGGCAGGAATGTTGCGAGGGCGCGGAGCACGGCCAGTCCACTGATGTTGTGTGGCTGGAGGTCTACAAAGTGTAGTCCACCTTGGCCATGATTCTGGCCTTCATGGCCTTTTGCCGAGGGCAGGCCTGGTCGAAGGCTGTGTGCTTGGCGCTCGTGTTGGACTTAAACCTTGCATTGTGCGTGGTGCAGTTGGCGCAGCATGGAGCCAGCGCCTTGCTGGGGCACTGCGACGGCAGGTGTCCGGCGGTCGCGCAGTGCGCGCAGACTGGAGTCTCTGCGGGGCAGCGCGTCTGTGTGTGCCCGAACTGGAGGCAGCGGCGGCACTGCAGGAATGGAGAGAATTCCTCGGCGTGCACCCTCTGGTGGTCGAGGCGCACACGGCCGAGAGTGATGATGCTGTGGAACACCCTGGGCGGCACAGTGAGGACCGCGTTGTATAAGTTGGGGTTCCGGTTTCTCCGCAGGAAGCGCAGTTTAATCCGCTCATCGTTCCCCAGCTCAGGATTCTGCTCTTTTAAGGTGGCAATGAGGCCTTGGCTTGCCGTATCCTTGGAGATGCCCTTGAGGGCGATCATCGGCATAATCTTCCGCTCCGGTTCAGCACTGACGCCGGAGGTCTCTGTGTTGATGTTAATGCGCCTCATTGCCTCCTTTAGGTGGTCCGTTGAGTCAAATTCAACTCTCGCCTTTCCCCGCGAGAGCATCTCAACCTTGGCCGCCGTGAATTTGACCTCGCGGAAAGGAATAGTGGCTCGCAAGGTCTTGGTAACCGCCTGCCTGTCGGCCTTCTGGTCTTTGGAGGCCATGATGAGCGCCGGGCGTGCGCTTTTCCCTTCCCGTCGCTGGGGCTGAGTGTCCCCAACCTCGGGCTGAGCCGGCGTGGAGGCGAGCGTCTGGGCGTAGGTCTTGGTGGTGGAGGAGGCAGGCGGCTGGGCAGTCAGAGCGGGTTTCATGCGCCCGAACTCTGTTCTCACCGCCTGGGTGACAGCCTTAGTCACGGCGGCCGCGAGAGTCTCCTCGCAGCAATGGCTGTTAGTGGTGGTGGTGGCAGCGGAGGTGGTGGTGGTAGGTGCCGCTGGTGCCGGAGCCGCAGCCGGAGCTGGGCCCTTGTTCAGGCCAGGTATTTCCTCCAGGCAGTCGAGATATGTAAGATGTACCTCCTGAAGCAGCCGGGCAGCGTCCATGCTGCACTGGATCGCCAGCTCGCGGTCCTCCTTCCTCACACTCTTCTCCTTGTTGAGCAATGATGGAATGTTAGCCATTAGGCCGTGGAGCTTCTGAAGCAGTGGGGTGAAGAGCGTGTCTCCGAAGTCGGGCTCGGGGAAGGGAGTGGCCGGTGTCTTGCGCTTGCAGGCGCCAGTGGCAGGAACGCCGCGCGGGCGCGGAGTGGTCTTCGCCGGGGGTTGGTAAACTCCGAGACCCCCAAGGCTCCCGAAGTCGGCAAAGTCCAGAGAGTGCGGTGAATCTGGCCGAACCGTACCCGCTGAGCTGACTCGCGACGGGCACCTCTCGCTCTCTATAGATACGAAGGAGTTGTCCCTAGAGTGCGCCTCAGAGAGTGTGCTGAGGGTTGGGGAGCGAGAGGCCGACCGGGTGTTCGGTGCCTTGGTGACCTCCCGCGATTGCGCGCGGGTGACCCTTCGGTTGGGGGGTGGTGACCTGGCTAGCGGCATCTTGAGCACTTACTGTCTGTCCAACGTCCAAGTGTACACTGCAATCCAGGTATCACTGCAATCCTTTGATGTCACAATCACTACACGGTTTCACAGTCGCAAGGTCACCACACAATGTTAAACTACACAGTTGAAAGTCGCAGCACAAAGTCCCACTCAGTCCGATGTTTTGCCGGTATTAGGTGATAGCCAAGCGCGAGGGTCTGGCGCGAGGACCGCGCAGTCGTCGATGAAGTTGAAACCGGTACTTGGTGATAACCGGGCGCGAGGGTCGGGCGCGAGGACCGCACGGTCGTCGATGTGTGTTACACCGGCACTTGGTGATAACCGGGCGCGAGGGGCAGGCGCGAAGGGTTGGCGCGAGGGGTTGGCGCGAGGGCTTGGCGCGAGGGCACGGCGCGAGGGCCGGGCGCGAGGGGCAGGCGCGAAGGGTTGGCGCGAGGGGTGGCGCGAGGGGTTGGCGCGAGGGCTTGGCGCGAGGGCACGGCGCGAGGGCCGGGCGCGAGGGGCAGGCGCGAGGGGTTGGCGCGAGGGGTGGCGCGAGGGGTTGGCGCGAGGGCTTGGCGCGAGGGCCAGGCCCGAGGGTCGGGCGCGAGGGGCAGGCGCGAAGGCAAGGCGCGAGGGGCTGGCGCGAGGGCCAGCCGAGGGTCGCCAACCGGTATCAGGTGATAACCCAAGTCACGCCCGGGCGCGAAGGCTTGGCGCGAGGGCTCGGTACCTAGGCGCGAGGGCCGCGGACCGGGCGCGAGGGGCGGGCGCGAAGGCTTGGCGCGAGGGCTAGGTACCGTGGCGCGAGGGCCGCGGGTCGGGCGCGAGGGGCAGGCGCGAAGGGTTGGCGCGAGGGCTCGGTACTTAGGTGGGCTTGAGGGGTGGGCCATTTTTTTTTTTTTTTTTTTTTTTTTATAGCAGCTTTGTCCCCTGATATTCTTCAAGGATTTTATTTTCAAGGGGATTTTTTGTATTCTTTGTTTCTTTTCTGCATGCGATTTGCTTATGCCTGCTGGCTTAATAATAATTATACTCATATTTTCTTTTATTTCTAAATTGCTTTTTCTTTTGCAATTTGCTTTTTCTTTTCTTAATTGCTTTTTCTTTTGCGATTTGCTTATTCTTTTGCTTTTTCTTTTCACTATTTCTGTTACAATTTTCTTATTCTATTTCTTATTCTATTTACTTCTCTATTTTATGCTATTACATTTTTGCTTACTGTCTATGTCCTAAATAACTATGTTAACACACAAACGTATATAATTTACTAATTATATATTGCAGTATGATTAACTATTCCTTTTGTTGACAATGTTACAAATTTTTATGCAATAGCTTATAAATTTATCTCTACTTGCCTTGTTAGTTAATAAAGTATGCAGATTTTCTTTAACAATATTAATATCTAATTTGCAACCTAATTCATAGCGTTCGCGCTCATGGATGGGACACTCTGTCAGGAGATGGATTACTGTCTCCTCGCATGCAGGGTCGCAGGCGCATGATGGGTTGTCCCTGCACTTGAAGCGGTTCAAGTACTGGGAGAACCCACCATGCCCCGTCAGAATTTGGGTGAGCATTCCCGTCGGGCCTATTTTACGGACGAACCTAAACGCCTGGATGGCGTCTGGTAAGAATACCTTCGTAATCGACGCGGTGTCGCCCTCTAGATACCGGTTGTTCCATTGTTCTAGCGTTGTATCACGGATGACTTTTTTAACGTGTGATACAGGGCATTTGTCGTAGTCGGGTTTTCTTTTTAATAAGAGAGCCGCCTCCTTAGCCAATTCGTCCGCGCGTTCGTTGCCTGGAAGACCTGCGTGGGCTTTCACCCAGAACAAAGACACAGCTTTGCCCTGGGCCAAGGCCGTCCGCAGGTTCTTCCTAGTCTCCACTGCAAGAGGGTGAAGTGAGCTATGGTTTGCGATCGTCTCCAGCGCTGCCCTCGAATCGCTATATACACCATAACTCTCTTCCCCCCCTCTCAGGATTATGCCCGAAGCTTTCCATATAGCCAAGAGTTCCGCCTGGTAGACTGAGCAGTACGCAGACAGAGCAAGTTTGAGGCTACTGGTCTCGGCCTCATTATTCCATACGGATAATGCGGCTCCGACTTTCCCCTCAATCTTACTTCCGTCTGTAAAGATGCGCACCGCTTGCATGTTATGCTGCTCTACACGCTGTTGGTCTACCAAACTCATGAACTCCAGGTCTATATGTTCCGCCGGATGTAGAGCTTCTGAAAACCTTATCGCACTCTCGGTCTCTCTGTCTCCTAGAGCCGGCGGGGGCGACCCTCTCTTGGCCTTATACAGGGCGGCTGCCTCCTGTATTCTAAGGTCGAGAGGAAGTATCCCCGCCAACACCAGCGCCGAGTGTAGAGAGACTGTGCGGTACGATTTACAGAGCTTTTGGGCAAAACCCCGTTGCACAGTGGAGAGCAACTTTCGCACACCTAGCTTCTCCGATGCGGGAGCCCACGCCGCTGCGGCGTACATGATAATTGGCTCTATGGTCGCGACGTATATGGTCCGGATTATTTCGGGGTGTAAACCCCAGTTGACCTTAGCAGCCTTAGACAACTGCTTATAAATATCCAGTGCTTTCCTACACTGCGTCGCGACATGGGTGTTAAAAGTGAGCCTATCATCTAAGACTACCCCTAATATTTTAACCTCCCTAGAGATCTCAACGTTCACTCCCCCCATGGTCAGCAATGGGTTGTCGTATTTCAGCTTCTTGGTCAAGACCATTGCGCAAGTTTTATGCGGCGCAAACTTCAGCTTATTACGAACCCCCCATTGCTGAACATAGGCGAGAGCGGCGTTGGCCTGTCTCGAAACTTCGAGACCTGTGTCCCCATCGAAGAGCATGACCACATCGTCCGCGAAAGCCTGCACATAATGCCCCATGTTGTCAAGGTCACGTAGTAGAGGGTCAAGGAGGATGTTCCATAGGATGGGACCACCGATTGACCCTTGCACACATCCTTTGTTTGTGCTCCTCGTGCATTCTTCCCCGGCGTATCTTACTCTGACTTTTCTGCAGTCGAGATAGCTATCTAGTAGCCTCCTGATGTTGACCGGACACTTTTCCTCAGCCAGACGGACTCTGATTGCTGGCCACCACGCGCTATCGAAGGCCCCCTCTATATCCAGTGAGACAAGGGTTACCAGCTTCTTCAGCTTAATCTTACCCTGAATATGGTTCACTAGAGTATAGAGGGCGTCCTCGGTGCTCCTCTGGGGCATGAATCCGTACTGGCGAGTACTAATCCTCGGTACTAGGTGCCATTTGATCCTTGCTACTATCATCTTCTCCAGGATCTTCCCCAAGACTGGCAGTAGACCTATCGGTCTGTATGACTTGGGGCTCGTGTAGTCTTCCTTGCCCGGTTTTCTTAGTACCACCACTGTGGCCTCCTTCCATATGTCCGGGAAGTGTCCCAATATGAGACACTTGTTGGCCAGGGCAAGGAATGCGTCCAGATCCTGAGAGATAGCTCGACTGCAGATGTCTGCTGTGAAGCCATCCGCTCCTGGGGCCTTCTTCGGGTTAAAACTTCCCATCGCGGTTCTTAGCTCCAGCGAAGTAAACGGCGGATCATGTTGTTCATCATGGCCCGGTTCGTTTACCCGCTCTGCCGTCATTCTTGTCCGGCGATGATCCTCATTATCCGTTGCCTCCAGGTCTTCGGGGTAGAAAACTTCCGCTAGTAGGCGCGCCGATTCTGTTGGGTTTAAGAATGCACCGTCTCTGGTTAGGGTCAAGTCTTCTTGTCTCCTGGTGGTCCTTCTGATGACTCTGTAGATACCTTCCCAGAGTCCTTCTCTGTCTTGCTTTTCACAGAACGATTTCCAGCTTTCTATTTGGGCTTTCTTGGCTTGGCACTCGTAGGCTTCTTTCTTTTCTAGGTACTGGGCTACCACTATATCTCTGCGGTACGGTGCCGCGTTCTTGATCTTGCGCCTGGAGGTAGTGGCAGCCTTTTTCAGCCTCGCGAGCTCGTCGTTCCACCACGGGACTCTAAGGACCTCTGTAGTCCTCTTAGCCGGCATGCTCTCCTTGCACGCAGCTGAAATGCAGGACGTGTACTTCTGGATCACATCATTTAGTTCCAGTTTGGTGTCAATGTTATTGACGGACTCTACATTGATGTTACTTGCAGTTTTGTGCTCCAGAAGCACCCGCCTGAAGATGTCCCAGTCGGCCTTTTTGGTATTGTAGAGTCTGGTGGTTCTCTCTACTTTCATGCCCTTACTCCTACGTAGAGCAATGTGGAACAGTATGGTGTTGTGGTCTGAGCTCGTCACAGTCTGGTCTACCCTCCAGTTGTCGACTATGTCTAGTAAATCTGCGGTACAGGCTGTGATGTCGACGTGACTGGTATATGCCCTTCCACCTCTAACGGTGTCAAAAGTCGGCATATCACCATTATTCAGTACCTGAAGCCCAGACTCTTCCAGGGTCCCGGACATTTCTTTACCCCTGTGGTCTTCTACGGTGCTGCCCCACCAGGTACTCTTGGCGTTACTGTCGCCTCCTAACAGCAATGGTGTAGAGCCCAGCTCCTCTCTGATGGTACGTAACTGCTCCAAGTATGGCTCTATGGGCTGATCCGGTTCAAAGTAGAAGGATACCGCCGCGATTTCCCAGGCCGTGGTTCGGATCCTCACAACAACAATATTGTTGTTTGTGAGTTTCGGGCACTGGATGACGTCAAAGCCGTCGTTAAAGACGGCAATTGCCGCCTTCACAGTCCCATCTCCTACTACCTCGTTCTGGAAGATTCTCGCCCCACGGTAGCTCTTCATCCTTTTNTTGGTAAAGCCTATCCAGACACCGGGTGACCTCGACTTTAATCTCAGTCCTGAGATTACGCGCGTCACCCAGGTTGGTCTTAGCCTTTACCAAGGCGGCCCTCGCCTGGGCAACTCTGTCCGAGCTGGTGGTCTGCTTGCCCGCAACGGGGCTGTCGGCGGGAACGGAAGGCTTCTTTGCCGCCTTTGTGCCCTGCGAGGGCGCCAGCTTAGTCCTGGGNTCTCCTCTATTTTTTCCATAATCCGATCAGACTCAATCCTCTCACACGTCACTTCCTCTCTTCCTGTCTCCCCCGCTCCCCTCTCAGAATCCCCGCCACTCCCCCCCTCTTTCCTCTCCGCCTCTGAGTCCTTGATGAGTTGGTAAAGCCTATCCAGACACCGGGTGACCTCGACTTTAATCTCAGTCCTGAGATTACGCGCGTCACCCAGGTTAGTCNGGGGCGACCCTCTCTTGGCCTTATACAGGGCGGCTGCCTCCTGTATTCTAAGGTCGAGAGGAAGTATCCCCGCCAACACCAGCGCCGAGTGTAGAGAGACTGTGCGGTACGATTTACAGAGCTTTTGGGCAAAACCCCGTTGCACAGTGGAGAGCAACTTTCGCACACCTAGCTTCTCCGATGCGGGAGCCCACGCCGCTGCGGCGTACATGATAATTGGCTCTATGGTCGCGACGTATATGGTCCGGATTATTTCGGGGTGTAAACCCCAGTTGACCTTAGCAGCCTTAGACAACTGCTTATAAATATCCAGTGCTTTCCTACACTGCGTCGCGACATGGGTGTTAAAAGTGAGCCTATCATCTAAGACTACCCCTAATATTTTAACCTCCCTAGAGATCTCAACGTTCACTCCCCCCATGGTCAGCAATGGGTTGTCGTATTTCAGCTTCTTGGTCAAGACCATTGCGCAAGTTTTATGCGGCGCAAACTTCAGCTTATTACGAACCCCCCATTGCTGAACATAGGCGAGAGCGGCGTTGGCCTGTCTCGAAACTTCGAGACCTGTGTCCCCATCGAAGAGCATGACCACATCGTCCGCGAAAGCCTGCACATAATGCCCCATGTTGT